CAGCAGGCGGATAGCTCCAGTGGCCCCAAGCAAAAAGGAAAACGTAAAATGAGGCTCCTGGCGATGTGTATAATGTTCAGTTCATGGCTGGATATCCTTAAGGTGGGCAAAAGTAGAATTCACAGCCACTTCTGTAAACACTTGTGGAAGCGTGTGCCCTGAAGACACAGGTACAAGTTGCCACATCAGTGCACTTCAGTGAGGAAGAATCCACTGGTTCTTCCTTCAGGTCTCATCCTTGATCTCTCCTGGTGTTAAGTGTGCAGGTCATGGTGGCGCAGAGGAGGGAGAAGGGATTAGGAGATCTGTGTCTTCTTCTGCTCCATCACTGTGTGGACTTAGATTTCAGCCTTAACCTGCCCTGAGCCTGTGTATGGGTGTGGGCAGGTGTGGCTGGAAGAGAGTCCTTGCTTCTGTGGAGGTTGGGGCAGGAAGTGACCCCCTGCCTTTGGGGTCTTTTTGCCAAAGACCACGTTGCTTCCAATGGCCTTTTAACCCTGGTGATTATAATTTTGAACACAGGGCACATGGACTGAAAGAAGTTCTGCAGGCCACAGAACCTCTGATTGTGTGTGAAGATAAAAATTGTAAGAATTCCGAATTTCTGAAAAGTCTCGGTCAAATATAGTCAAGTTAATCCTGTAGCTTCTGCTGAATAAAACCACCAGACGGGTCATAAGGAGTGAGAACTACTGCTTATTGATGAGTGAAGCAGGCATTTGTTCTAGCTATAGGTGCAGAGAGAGCTGGAAACCAGCAGCATTGACGTACGTTCCAGCAGCATGGAACCTAGCAGCATTGACGTACGTCTCGTACAGGAGTGAGCAAGAAAGGGATTGACAGAGAAATGTCACTACCTTACATCAGAGACAGGTAAGGGTAGCGTTAGAAAAGCCCCAAAGATTTTAAGGCCAGATAGCCAAGTTGTCTCTGAAAGGTCACTGCTGACTCTAGATATTTCGACTTGGCATAAATAACTATTGTCTGTGATCTGAGTGTAAATGTTCCATCATCTGGCAGTATCTGTGCACAACCGTAACAAGAATGAAAACATGTAGAGACCAATTTAGAAAAAAACAGCACTCAAAGAGGATAGAGGGGAAATAAATTACCAGTTTCTATTCTGATAAACACCAGGTATCAGCTATCATGTATATGAACTGGCTGCCTGCAGCCCCTGCTTGGGGTATGCATTTTCCTCTGCATAACTCATGAGTAACTGATTTGTCAGGGTTACTCCTAAGACCACTTCTGACATGTCCCACAATTTCTCTCAGTGTTGCCAGTTCCTGCAAGAGGGTTGGCAGCCCTGTTATGTTTGCAGGGATTCTACGTACTGTCTCTTAATGAAACTGGAAGCACCTGACCTGAAAGGAGGGTGCTGCTGGGACAGTGAAGGAATCTTGATTTCAAGAAATTTAGCTTTCCTTCATGGGTCTTTTGTTCTTGCTTTCTTCATGCAGTTGAGACTAAGTACCTCTTTCACAGACTCTGAGAAAGACCTGCAGAGCCAGGGAGAGTGTTGGGCTGGATGGGAAGGTGTATCCCCGCCTGCCACAATCACTTCATGCACGCATTGGGGAGCTTCTAAAAGTAGCTGGTGCCAAGTGTCCCCACCGTACCTGCCTGTGATGGAGAAAGGGGCAAAGGGTAGGAGAAGGCGGAGAGTTTGGCTAGCACGCTGTGTACAAGAGCAGTAACAGCACTGGTTATCGGGGCAGGTGCGGGCTGCTCTGCCCCGAGGAATTCCAGTAAGGTGAAGGGGCTTGTTGTGCTCCAGCTATTCCTCTCCCTATCACGTGGGGAGTATTTTCAAATGGCATTGCAGCCAGCGTGCCCGGGGGTGAATCTTAACATGACCGTAGCAAGGATTTTGAAACAAATTCTCCTTATTATTAGCTTATTCTTAGAAGAACCAGGGTAAGGTTGATAGTAAGGTTTCGCCTAGTACATTTAAGAGTCCAAGCAACTTTGCACATACATTTTTGAAACTAGAAGGGTGTACTGCATACCAAACCTGTCTGACTGTTTCCAACCCTTGGCAGGAACAGAGGTAGGTCACTGAGTAGATCAAAGACTTAAGAGTGTGTTGACTGATCGACTCTTGGAGATCCATAGATGAATCTTCAGGAAGAAAGTGTAGCACACGCTGAAGGAAGAGTGATGGTGTCTGTGTGGGAAGTTCATTCATTGTCTGTGTGTTACAAAAGGGCAAGTGTTGAGTGCTGTAGGCATGACATTTTCCAGAGGCACTCATATGTCTTCGCAGGTCTGACTCTCCCTTGGCTTGACCTATTTGTCATCACATGCAGTGTGGAAAAGATTCTGTTAACAACTGCTTCTGCGTCAGAATTCATCTGTTAGGTGAGAACAAGGTTGGATTTTAAATGCTGTCTTCTCTCTGCACACATAAAAGCAACCACAAGCTACAGGGATAGAAGCAAGCCATCGGGTACAGTGGAAAGAGAAGAGGAGGAGGGGGAAAGCAAGCAAGCTGTCCGCATATAAAGCGAAGATGGAAGTTTGCGTATGTGTTTGTATAAGGTCAGACATTTGGGAATAGAAACCCAGCAGCAGGTGATGATTACAGGCAACACGTCTGTGCCTATGTACAATTTTGCTGAGCAGCTGTCTTTTGTTACCTAAATTCCCGGGGCCTGGGGGTCAGAGGAGCTGTACGTGTCTCTGAAGAGCCCACTGCAGCCATGTTCCGTTTGGTCCCCGGGCTGACCTTGCAGCCTGTGGGGAAGGCAGTATTCTTTCTCTTGGTTTCATGGTATCCGTGTGGAGTTACAGTGGATCTGGAAAATAACTCAAGAGTCTCCTGATACAGAGTGAAGAAAGTTGAAAACAACAGAACCAGAATCAAAAAATCTGAGTGGATGGGTAGACTTATTATACATTGCAACCTGACAGTTAAATCCCTGAAGGTGTCTGAATTCATTAGGAACTCTAAATCAGAATGAAATAGTCTGAGAGGGCTGAAGTTCACACACTGATTTAATTTGCATTAATATTCAATTTTGTGTCAACTTGAAAAATCCTTTGAAAATCAAATGATGCGATGCTGCATCTTGCTTCTAACCAGCTCCTCTCCTAATGGTGTCACTGGTGCATGGTTTAGCCCTCCTTTTTTTTAAGAATCTGATGATGTAAAATAAAATCTTTTCCCCGCCCCTACAGAAACAGGAAGAATGCCGCCACAAAAAGCGCAGTTCCCTCCCACAGCATCAGGGGAAAGGGTACTTTTGCAGGAAAGTCCTGATACAAGCCCACCCTAGGGTGCTTTTGGGTTGTATAGCTCAGGACATGACTGAACAGACGAGTGAAGTTGGTTATCTCAAGATTCGAGCTTGCTTGCTGCTGGTGGTGTGCCTGTGGCAAAGGACACAGCAAACCCTGGCGACATCGTGCCAGGATGGTGAACTGAGAATAATCGGCAGAGGCGAAACGAGATGCTGCCCCAAATGCAGCTCAGACGCGGGTAAGGGAATGATGTGTCTGCCTTCTTTCTGTTGGTCAATGTTGTTTTATGTCAACCAGGGTAATGATTTGTGGGGAACAGGCGTGTGTGTGTATGTAAATGTGTCTTGAGTAACTGTATATGAAAAACAAAACAGCGAGGGCTTCCTTCCTGCCCTGTAAATTCATAATGTGCCTTAGCTATAAACTTCAGAGCAGACTCGCGTTTCAGATTTGTTCTGTGCTTACACTTGTTGTTCTGTAGTGAGAAAGGGAAAGCAAAGTTTCTGTGGGTTGGTCTTGCTGACAAGGAAAGGTGTTCACCTAACAGAGATTCTGAGCCCTTGCTCCATTCAAACATATTTTCAGAGTTTGCCTGTGCCGTGCAGGCTCCAGAGGGAATACAGGGAGTGATGCTCTCTGTAAGGCTGTCCTTTGCAAGCTGCAGTCCTAAAGAGTAGGAGGCATCCCACTGCAATCCCTCCGTTCCGCTGACCGTGCTTGTCCCAAAGGAAATGCACAGAGGAGGTCTCAGGTGATCTTTAGTTTTAACAGCCTGTTCTAACCTGTGTCCTTGCTGATCTTAGGATGGTGGTGAGATGGTAATGGATTCTCACTTGCCTCTAATTTTAACTCAAATGAAGGCACTGAAGGTGGAACAGGATGGCTGCAGGACTTACTGGGTGACATTTCTGTGCCTGTTAGGCTGAAGGAAAGGTGATTCTAATGGCCTCTTCCATGGTCTCAGGAATAATCATACTATTCTTCCTCATTTAGTGCTGGCCATAATAGTAGCCAGCACTGAAGAGTAGGGAAGAGTGCTGGTTTTATGACTTGGATTTAGACCCCCTTCTGCCAACAGAGTGTAGGAAGCAGCTGCTGTTGTTGGGAAAGGCATGGAAAAGGAGCTCTAGCTTCAGTGGCCGAGGATCTTCCAGGCGTCCCTCCTCTAACTTGGCTGAGCCTAACTGAGGAGCTCTGGCAGTGTCCTGAGAGCTGACTGGGTGACTGGTTAACGTGCAGTGTTTCTCTGGGGCACTGGCAGCGCCCTCCTTATCCCACAGTGTCTAAATCTGCACCATGTAGTAAAGCAAACCTCCTGCCTTGCTTCTGTCTACCATGATCTACACTGGTATTCCAGACAAGAGAGAAGGGTTGCAGTGGTAAGTCATGCAGTGCTCCAATAACCATGGTGTAAAAATCTGAGTGGTGCTGATTTGAGTGTTTTAGACTTTATCCAGCATTCATCGGAGTGACATCTTTCTGGTATCCATTTTCTCCATGACAGCACGGTAAGGAACTGTTTCTCCCGTGTCAGCCAGTAAGACTAATGGTTAAGTTAATTTCTGGCATCTATGACAAAGGCAAGTCTAACTTCTTTCTTCTTGGCAGGAGACAACAGCCCATGTCAAAAAATTGAGGACCGTGAGTGCAAATGTCGTCAGGGATACAGCTGTGTTGATCGTCCGTGTCTCTACTGCGAAAAACTGCCTGAATGTGGAGAGGGCGAGGAGCTGGTTAAGATTGGTAACTGAAGAAACACAAATTACTCTAAAAGGCAGAGTTCAATAGAAGTGTCTGGCTGAGCAGCAGACAGTTTCCTTGACTTACTATAACTTGCTTTTGGGAAGTCTGAAGATGCAGAGAGAAATGGCATTTATACTGTGGCCTCTGTGAATAAACCCCCTGTTTCCCTTCTGAAATTGGAGACTTTCATTTTCACACTCAGACTTGCAGTATTACTCTTCTTCCCAGCTGCTAGAACTGTCAGTAGAAGACTATTTTACTTTGTGTTGCCTCTTAACTTTACATCCTCTGCCGTCAGATCAGACTATTCTGTGCCACTTCCATAGGGGGTCCACCCATACCTTTCCCAAAATACAAAGGTGGCAAGAACTGCTTGGGTGTTTCTGCAGGGGGGTGATTCATAATGCAGAAAGAGTGCAGAGGGAATGTATTGTGCTCTAATCTGTTGTATCCTCATCTTTCAGTAAAGGCACTGACCACTAATAATTCATGTTCTCTTTTCTTGCAGGCTCTGCTGACTTCACATTCAGATGTCGACCATGTGAGCCAGGAACCTATTCTAATGTTAAGAATGGCTGGTGCCGTAACTGGACTGAGTATGTATCTATTGATACTTTCTTTCTCTGGAAATATGCAGGGTAAAATCCTCAAATGATTCATACTTAAATTAGAAAATAAAATCGAATCAAAGATGAGATCAACAATGAGATTAAATTATAAGTTTTTATTCAGAAATATATAATATTTCTCTCTCCTTTGGCTTTATAAATAGTCAGTCTCAAAGCAGAAGTTAAGACAAACTGATCTGTATTCAACCTGTTTTCAAATCCAGCTCAAACTGATGCAAAATTATTCCAAACGTGGACATTACTTGAAACAAAGAGACTGAAAAAAAAATGTGCATATAAACGACTGTGATGTAGCATTAACTTGTTGGGGAACAGCCATAATTTTACCTGCGCTGCTATAAAAAAAAAAAAAAAAAGGAGACAAGTTGTGGAAAGAGGGGAGGGAAGGAAGAAAGGGAGCAAAAAGAAAGGCTGGGGAGGAATGAAGGGAAAGGCAGGGACATTCTAAACGTAACTCTTATTCTTCTTTTAGTTGTGAAAGCTTTGGGTTTCTAACAATCAAGCAAGGCAACAGTACACATAACACAGTATGTGATTCCTCTGCTAAAGATTTGGAGAAAGGTACCTTCTCACAATGATTTGTTTCTTTGAGCCTATAACTTTTCTCTCTCTCTACTTGTTCAGTTGGTGACTTGCTGCATAGTTGTCATCCAGAGTTTGCTATCATGAAAATTTGCTTTGAAAATTACTGTCCTGTTTCTTACAATATTAATACAGGTAGAATTGTTGACCTGGGAAAAGAATCTACCATTAAAGCGCTGTCAGTAATGAAGGTAGAGAAAAGCTGAACAATTGTCCTTAAATAGAGCACATTATTTGGCAAATTATCGGAGTTTTCCATTGAACTGCTCTTGCTGTTTTGCTAGATTTTCTTAGGAAGATAATAGCTTAGTTAGTCATCCAGTTCCTTCACAAGTATTGGTTGAGTCCACAACACGCAGAATTGAAATCTCATGTTTTATCATGGATCAGATTAGATAGGAGTTGGTGGGTACAGGCTTTGCATATCTTGAAGACAGCAAACTGCACTGCTCCTGCCTTTCCCCTACCCTTGTCCCTTCCCTACCTGCCTGTCAGGTCTGGGCAGGGAAATTTTGTTCTGCTGAGACAAATTGCAAAAAAGGTGCTACTTTTAACTTCCACGAGGCTGACACAAGTGTGAACATTTTGCTTGCTGTAGTGCTGTTCAGGGAAACTTTCAAGCCAAATCTCCTCCTCCTAATGCAAAACCCAAAACAGAGTAGAAAGAGTAAGTGATAGCTGCAAGAGAGAGACATTGAACAATGAAGAGATCAGGCGTGGGTTCTTTTGCACGAGTGCTTCTTACCACAGACCCTTGACTTGGAGCAGCTCAGTTTTATACCTGCACTGTTTTTTTTTTCCTTGGAAAATTATTTTCAACAGAAAGGAAATTAATCTCTAAATTTCCTTGGAAGAACTGCCTTTCCTTTAGCAATAGTCTCTTAATAATTTTGTAATCTTTATGCAATATATGTAATTGCAGCTCCTATTACACCTGACTCTCTATATACCACCATCCTGGCCATCCTTACCGCAGTGGCTGTATTTGTTCTCATCCTGCTGACCTTCTTCTTGCATTTCTGCATATGGTCACTGAAGAAAGAAAAATACCATACAGCCGAGGGTAAGCGCACCTCTGTGAACTTCTGTGTAGCTTGTCAGTGCAGAACAACATGTCCATTGATCCAGAGTCAGAATGGGATAAATTAAGTTGAATAAACAGAGTAAATATGGATTTACTCTGATTTTGGGTGGATTACTTAGTTTCTTGCCCTTTCCTCAGAAAGCAGCTGTATTGGTAAAGGTAAAGAGCAGCTAACTGACATGTACAAAGACCTCTTGTATGTGCAGTGCTTTTGCTTATTCTCACTGCAGATCTGGAACATAACTTCCCTAGGCTGCCGAGGGCTTCCCAACTGTCACACCTTAAAGAAGAGACTTACAGCTGCCAGTTTCCAGAAGAAGAACATGGGGACAAAGCACCAGAAGAAAAACCTTGCTATTGCCATCTTCAGAGTCTACAGTGAAAACAGATAAATTGCAATGTGCTGTGAGAATGGAGAGCTGAGCTCAGCTTTTAAAAAAAAAAAAAAAAAAAAAAAAAGGGAAAGGCTGGGTGCATAAAGCATCCTTATATCCACAGCAATAAGGAATGGGTTTGAGGGGAGTTTCTCTTTGTTTCTTCTCAACACACCTTGCATTTGCAAACTGAAAAACTGCCAAGTCAGGCTGACATTCCGTTCGGCTCCATTGCATTATTGCAAGTTTCCTGAGTTGCTGGGGTATTTTTTCATTGATGCTCTTTTCAACTCTTTTTTTTGGGACCACGGACCCTTCTTGTCATTACTCCCCTCTGCATCTTCTGCAGACATCCCTGTGGTGTTCCTGCAGATTGATAACATGAGTAGAAGGCTGGTGTCCTGCCATCGATCTCTTCAGTGCTCCAGGAAATACCTGGAATGCTGGATTGCGAAAGGGAGACTTCTGAAAGGCTCCAACGAGGATCACGCTGTCTAGAGAAAGACATTTGGTTTAATGCTCTCTTGTCACCTAGTTTATAGAGTAGGAAAAGACAGTGGAAAACAGAGAAAAGCCTCACATTTGTTCTTGATGCTTTTTTCCCCACTCCAGAAGAAGAAGAACCAGAGCATCTGCTGGTATATACCGGCATAGCTCCAGTGACTTGGTCATCAGCTGAAAGGTGTTCCCCTTCCTGAAAATTCTTCCATGAAAATTTATTTTTTTTATTTTAGATTAGTGCTCCTTCAGTTTCATAGAGCTCTAACATGGCTAGAATTAATTTTTCTGCCTGAATTTAAAGGGGAAGGGCTTCATGTCTTTTTTTATGTTATTATTTTTGTGTTATGTGGCTGCGATAATAGATTCAAAGCTCTGGATCCCTTCTGGTTTGGCCTTCTGGTGAAAGCTGCTTGGAGTCCGCTCTTCTATGGCCGAATCAGCTCCGTGCAAAAACCAGTTTTGACTCGCCACTCACATGAAAGGTTATAAATACCTCACAGGACAGCCATTACATCAGCTTCCTCATGATTTATTACAGATAACATCAACAGTACAGGGCTTCTAAATTAAATCCCAACAGAATAATGAAATTTCTGTTAATCACCTTACTACTCAGAGGAGATTATTCCAAGTCTGAATGACATGCTGTTTTAAGCAGGGCTCTGTGAAATTACAGGAGCTGAGGAGCAGAAGTTATTGCCTGCACAGATGTGTGTTGCAAAAGCACTCAAACAGAGAATTCTAAGAAGTAGGACAGGTTATTTCCTTGGTGAGCTAGTCACTTAGCCTCGGTACGCCAAGGCAGGCTTGGTGAGACTGGGTAACGCTCCCCCTGTTAGACTGTCGTTGAGCTGACTCCATGACCTCAGGCAATCCAGTCCAGTGACTGACGTCAAGTCAGAGAAAGGAGAGAGATTTTGTTAGTTAAAATTTATATTATCCATTGTGGTTATAACAAATAATGGACTCTTCAGTGTCTTTTTAAGCATTCATAAGCCATCATCTCGCCTTGGTTTCTCTAGATGCTTATCTTACTTCCCAGGTTGTGGTTTCTAGACCTTAGTCTCTCACTCTGAGCTCCTTCCAGTTGGTCTTTCTTGAAGCCTTCTTGGAGGAGGTCTTAGCAAGCTTGAATAGAGCTGAAGGATTGATTTTATGATTCATGCACATGCTTTTGTTGCTGAATGTTTCTTCAGTGATTATATCAAGAGGAGTTATCCTGTCTTTTTTACTTTTTGCCTTTTTTTTTTTCCTTTGTGCATTATAGAATCTTGTAACCAAGTGAAATAATTGTAAGGAAAAATGAAGTGCAAAGGGTTATCCTTATTCACTATAAATGTATTCCTCCATAGTCCTACTTTTAATCTTCTAGCTTCTCTGCTATTGTGTTTAACTTGACATCCCTATATCTTAGCTTCCCCTTCATGTAGAATGGCAGCAGTGATACTTCTCAACCCTAAAAGGATGTTGTGAGGCATAATTAGTACTTTAAATGTATTTTTTCCACCTTTATCCTCTTACTGTTAATTCTTGTGTTGATGATAATTTTTCCCATAGGTATCCCTTTGTGAAATTCACTTTAAAAAAGCAAGTTTTCCTCCATTGCTTTGGGAAATGTGCAGATTCTTAACTGAGGTGGTCCTGGAGATTCAACCACCGACAGGTGAAAGCATTGGATTGGATTAAATAGTATAATTTTTTTAAAGTGTAAGACTGTCTCTGCCTTGTAAGCAGTTTTGCTGTGGGATTTAATATACTCAGAGCTGGTAAAGACACTTCTTATGGCTCCTTCGAGTTGGCCGTGTTTATTCTTGGCTCTGCATTGACTCTTCTTGGTTTTTTAATGTCTTCAACAAGATTTCTGATTGTAACCTTTTGTAAAGGTAAAATAAACTTGAAAATTTGAAGTGCCTATGTGATACAATTAAGCAAATTAGAAAGGAAGGGTTTTATTCTTTAGGTTGTCCCAGTGTTCTTGAGTGCACTTAATTTTCAGTTCACTTCCCCTCTCTTACAGAGCTCTGGCTGTTTCAGCAATGTACCCCCAGCCAAATTCCTCTGTTATTGAAAATTAGATAGGTGCACTTGCACTTTTTTCCCTTTTTAAGCAAGTGGCTTCACGTTTCCTGGCTGCTGGCTAAAATAGCTTTTCAGCTACCCACAACCAAAATAGCAGGAAACTGTGGCAGACGATTTTTTTTTTCCGTTCCTGATAATGGCAGAGAAGCAGCAACATTTTGGGGAAAAAAAAAATTCAACAGAGCTTACGATTTGAGGAATGAAAGATCTGAATATCTAGTGGAAGTCTGTGCCTCTGGCAATGTGCAGCAAATCTTGGTGAGCCGTACAAGACGTTCTGGGCTGTGGGTGTTGAATAGCCGACACTGCTGCCAGTTAATATTGAAACGTGATGAAGAGAGCCGTATTATTCACTGGAAATTTGCACAGTGGCCTTTTGGGTTTCTATATGTCTACCTTGAAGAACAGTTACACTTCCTGCTTACCTAACCACCTGACTTTATGGCTGCTTATTGATGGGAAAAGCAACCAATTTCCTGACTTCTTAAAGCTCCAATTCAGAGGGAAAAACCCAAAGTGTGAATCATTTGAGCCCTGGAGAATTTCAGTACGAGAGCTGTTCTTTGCATCAAAGGAAATTAAAGCTATTGGCTCAGAACAGTGAGCTTTTAAGAAAACACTAAATTTAAGTTTCCGTTCAAAAAGAACAATAGCTTTGTATTATCAGTGTGAAATTACTGCAATATTTAAATCAGATCATAGCTGAATTTTCAGCTCGAATCCCAGAGTTTATGGGGTTTTTCAGGTTCTGATTTGAACTTCAGGTTGATCTCTATATGGACTATAAGTTAAAAAAGGCTTCTCCCCAAATCATTTATATCCTATGAAATATCTGCCACCGAGCAGCCAAGGACAGTCTCTCAACATCCTTTTAGGGTTGAGAAATATCAACAAGTATCAGTGCTGGGATCTTCCAATGACCAGGCTCTGAAGTTAAAACTGACTTTAGCAGCTTGTCTCTGAGTAATGTATATTATTTTCCTGATGCCAAACCCAGTGTTACCATTTAGCATTTTGTGCTTCTAATTTGGATTTGTATTCCTGAATTTTGACTTCTGAAAAGGTATGATGGCAAAATTTCAGGGCAGGGAAATGATACCTAGCGGAGGAGAAGAGTTCTCTTTCTATCTTTGTTTTTGTGCACCTTGTCCAAAAGTTTAATAAAAAAAATTTCTTCTGAATTGGCAATTCTTCAGCATTTGCTCTGTGTGTAAATGGTCAGGAAACTGTGTCAGTGTTAAACCAACTTTTTTTAAAACAATATTTGATACTTAGAAGTGGCTTGCTGTTCATAATCAGATAAAGACCTTCCCACAGTTTTAGGAAATGCAGGGTGGCAGTTAGGAGAATGAGGTGATATCCTTTCAGATAGTCATTCACTTACATACGTAAATAATGAGCAGGGGTGTTTGGGGCCCCAGTGAGCTCTGGGGATTTCTTCTCTTTTAGCTGCAAAAAAAAGCAAAAGAGTAACAGGATAAGAGAAATGTGTGAGGTATAGAAACAGTTTTTCTCATACTGGAGGTTTTGCTCAAACGGAAGGCAACTAAGGATACGTGCAGGCAGTGGTTTGTTGGTTGTTTTTTTTTTTTCTACCATGTCTGCTTATGTTTCCTGCAAATTATTAGTGTTCTGAAACTGAAGAAGGTAAACCAATATTTTCATGGGACTTCCTGTCCTTAATTTTTTTTTATCTCCTTTCCCAAGGAACGGGAAATTAAGCAATTGTGTGATTATACATCTGTTTTTCCAAATAACTTTTCAACTTATTGCCTAGTTTCAGCCCAACCTGGCAGAGGTGTTCAGTTCTTAAAAGCATCAGGAAAAGAAACTCATAACTTGCAGTGCTCATGCATACCTTTGTTAGATTTTTTTTTTATTACTTCTAAAATTGTTGAAATTTTTTTTCCAATATACGCAGCTGTCTGTTTTCTTGATTTACATGTGGCCAGTGTAGGCTGCATAAAGGAAAAATTGGGATAGAACAGGGACCATGGGACCACACAAAGCTTGTTCAGGTGACTTTGCAGCTATACCACAGATGCAACCTGGATGATTAACTGACAGTTAACTGAGAACTGTTTGAAATGAAATGCTTGGTTGTTTTGTAGCAAACTGTTCCTTTTCAGTGCTACATATATGTAGAGTAGAGAAAAAATTCTTAAGGTGTTCAAAATCCAAGTGAAATATTTTGGAATTGTCAAAGATTTGATTCAGCCTGGAGGTTTTGGGGTTGTTCTTCTTGGAGGGTAGAGGACAGCAATGAGTATTTGGGGAAATGAATTTTTATTTGTGAAAACTTCCAGGATTAACATTTCTTCTTGATTTAGGCAGGGAAGAAAAGCTGTAGAAAAGGGACTGTTCACCATGAAGAATTGCACTGTGCCTGCCGTTTCAAAGGAAGGCAGTGGCTCTCCAAACCAGCAGT